CCTCAAACTTTTGGTCTTCCTGCCTCCAAGTGCTGGGATCGCAGGTGTGCCTCGCCTGTATGGTTGAGCCATTTTGTTTAACCTGGCCACTAAATGCTGTGCTCAGCAATTGACTGGGACTAGGGATGTAAAGGCTCAGTGGAAATACTTGCCTGGCTAGTTCAGAGCTCTAGTCAGGTTCTCAGCAGCACAAGGAGGGAAAGAGAGATCCAAAACAGCTCTTCTTTTCTCGTTCTTAAAATTACCTATTTTTATTTTACGTGTGTAGTGTCTTGTTTGAATGTATGTGTACTGTGTTCATGCAGTGCCTGCTGAAGCCAGAAGAGGGCGCTAGATCCCCCAGCGCGGAAGGTTAGCCGGTTTAGCAATCATGTAGATGCTGGGAATTGAACAAAGGTCCTTTGAAAGAGAAGTCAATGCTCTTAACCACTGGGCTATCTCTCTAGCCCCCCACCTCCCAGCGCTTGTTTTTCCTTTTTCTTTTTCTTTTTCTCTTTCTTTTTCTTCTCTCTCTCTCTCTCTCTCTGTCTTCCTTTTTTTTTTTTTTTTTTAAGAGAGGCTTTCTCTGTATAACAGAGGCTCGTCTTGAACTCACTATGGAACCCTGCTGTCCCCAAACTGTTCATTCTCCTACCTTAGCCCCTTGAGTGGTGGGATTATAGGCCTGTGTACAATGCTAGGCTCTCATTCACACGTGTTAGTAAGGCTTTGGGGAAAGAAGAGTGGCGATGTTTGTGAGCACAAAGATGGTACAGTTCTGTACCGGAAATGGAATTCCGTCCTCCGACCGGAACAGCTATCACCATCGTCATTACAGCAGTTGTGACCGTTTGCAAGATTCCCTTGAGAGAGGGGCTGTTGATGTTCCCTCATTTATTATTTATTTATTTGATTTTTTGAGACAGGGTTTCTCTGTGTAGCTTATCCTGGAACTCACTCTGTAGACCAGGCTAGCCTCGAACTCACAGAGATCTGCCTGCCCCTGCTTCCCGAGTGCTGGGATTAAAGGTGTGCGCCACCACTGCCCGGCGCTTTTTTAATTTTATTTATTTGTTTTGTTATGTATACAGTGTTCTGCCTGCACTGCAGGCCAGAAGAGGGCACCAGATCTCATTACAGATGGCTGTGAGCCACCATGTGGTTGCTGGGAATTGAACTCAGGACCTCTGGAAGAGCAGTCAGTGCTCTTAACCACTGAACCATCTCGCCAGCCCCCCTCCACCCCCCCATGGTCCCTCATTCCTAAAGGAGAGGTGAAAAGGGTCAACAGACCCTCAGCTGAGATTTCGGCCCCTCCCGTCTGTGCCTCCCTGGCAAACTATACGTGATTCTTCCCTCTGTGCACAGTCTCGTGGTCTAGAAGTTATAATATATAGGGTGTGGAAGGCTCAGAGGAGGATCATAGCTATGTGGCTCTGGGGTCATTTTCATCCATGCTGGAGTGAGACTGAAGTGATGGGCTGCTTTGGGGTCACCCACACTCTGCCGGCAAGCTTTGTAAACTCACTGGTGGGCTTTTACTTGGTGAGCTATCTCGCCATCCCACCATCACAATTTAAATTGTAGTTTTATTGTTGTTTTTGAGGTAGGTCTCTCTACCCAGTCCTGGCTGGCATGGAACTCACTATGCAGACCAGACTGGCCTCGAATTCAAAGATCTACCGGCCTCTGTCTCCTGAGTGTTGGGATTAAAGGTGTCAGCCATCCTGCCTCACACAATTTAAAATTATTTCCTGGTCAGGCGGTGGTGGCCCATGCCTTTAATCCCAGTTCTCGGGAGGCAGAGGCAGGCAGATCTCTGAGTTCAAGGCCAGCCTGGTCTACAGAGCTAGTTCCAGGACACGAAGAAACCTTTAAATAATATTTTTTTTCTGTGTTTACTTTTTTTTTTTAACATTTTATTATTGTATGTGCATGGGGCATGTCTGTGCACCACGTGTGCAATACCCATGGAGGCCAAGAGAAGGTGTTGGATCCCCTCTGGGACTAGAGATAGGGACAGTTGTGAGCTGCCATGTGGATGCTGGGACCCAACCTGGGTCCCCTGGAAGAGCAGCTAGGTGCTCTTAAGTGCTGAGCCATCTCTCCAGACTAACTTTTTTTTTTTAAAGTCAGGGTCTCATGTGGCCCAGCTGGCCTTATATGTGCTACACAGCTAGGGGGGGACTTTGAACTCCTGATCTCCGTGCCTCGCCAGTGCTGGGGTTACAGCCATGCCTCATCACTCATTGATAATAATCTATATGAATAAGCACATGTGCTTACATGAAACGTGAGAGTGATGACAGTGAGCAGATCTAGGCTGCGTGTTCCCAAGTTCTTGGCTTCTTATTCAAGGGATTAAAATAAGGGGGTCACCCAGATCGAAAAGTAGTGAGGAAATGTTATTTAAAGCAAAGCAATACAAAAGAGAAGATATTTAAGGGCCTGTATTATTCTTTGGAGCACCCTTTTATGGGGTTTACAGGGTTCAGTTACTAAGGGACACAGTGAGAGTGAGTCTCTGTTTTGATCGACACATTAGGTCATGTAATTATTTCCCACTTGTCTAAGTTTGGGTTTTTATTGCTGTGAAGATGGCAACTCTGATAAAGAAAACATTTAGTTGGGATGGCTCACTTGCAGTTTCAGAGGTTCAGTCCATTATCATCATGATGGGGAGCATGGTGGCGTGCAGGCAGAGGTGGTGCTGGACCTGAGAGTGCTACATCTTGCAGGCAACAGGAAGTCATCTGTGACACTCTGGGCGGTGTCCTGAGCATAAGAAACCTCAAAGCCTATCCCCACAGTGACACACTTCCTCCAACAAGCCCACACTTACTCCAACAAAGCTACACTTCCTAATAGTGCCATTCCCTATGAGATTATGGGAGCCAATTACATTCAAACTACCATACCACTGCACATGTGCCTTCCCATAATGCACCTGATTTTAGTCATATGCACATCAAATGATGCATAGGCATAAGGTAATAAGTAGGGAATTCTCCCTAACACAGTTTTGACTTACTGTGAAAATACCAAAAAACCAGTCTAGTGCGGATATGACTTTCCATTCTTTAGTACTAGATTATTGGGGTGTATTTAATAAAATCTGTCTTCAGTTTGATGATTGGCGAGGGAAGGAAAAAGCATCACAATGTAGCCTGATGTGGATTGGGGTCCAAGGCTGCATCTCCAAGGTCCAAGGAGAGATTGTTTGCAATGGTGTGGGGGTGAAGGAGGGGAGTGGCCAAGTGCACCGTTAGAAGAAGGGTGTGTGTGTATCCAAGCCAGAGTCTGTCCAGTTCCTACCTCCTGTTCTCATCAGGAGAGAATCCACTCCACAATGTTGTCCTCTGACTTCCATGTGCCAGTATCACATGCCACACAGGAGCTGCACTCACACATGCAATGATGATGAGGATGATGATGATGATGATAACTTGAAAACAATAAAGGGATTACTTGCAGAGAGAAAAAGAACAGGACAGAAATGGGATGCTAAAGAAACTTCTGTCTTTTTAAATTTTTGAGCATGTGAGTGTTTTCCAATAAAATTTTCAACAGACTCGTGGAAGTGGTTAAACTGGGGGGGGGGGGTCTAGAGCCTCACTTGTCACAGGGATTTTCATTGCCCTTTGAGTTTCTGCCCCTATTTCCTACAAAGCAGTGCTTCACAACCTATGTGGAGGTCAGTAGCAAAGACTCAGGGTCTCCTCACTTCTGTAGGACAGGCTGAGGAAAGTACCACTCAGCTGTAATAGCCTTTATTATACACTTTCCCTTGACTCTCTAGAGATGGAGGACAGTCTCAAAATAGCTAAAGAATTAATTTTAACCAGAGTAGGAATAAGAGCAATGTGCTCTGTGTTTTCTTTGTGTGTGTGTGTTGACACTGGTCTCGTGTTGGCTCAGGCTGGCCTCCAACTCTCATGCAGCTAAAAATAACTTTGAACTCCTGATCCTCCTGCCTCAGTTTCCCAAGGGTTGAGATTATAGGTCTGTGCTACTGCAGCTGCCGGTAGTGGTATGGAACTGGCTCTTGACGTCTCATCGGGGAGGTCCCAGAAGGCAGGACTCTGGAGTTGCGAGGAGGGAGTCGGTTAGGATGTGGGGACAGGTGGAGGGGAGTCAGCAGAATACCTGACAGTGGGGACCTGGTGCCGAGGGCTGCACTGTGTGATTAAGTATGCAATCGTTTGGATTTTAATTTTGGATGCTGGGTTGAACCAAAGCCTCATGGATGCTTCACGTTGTGCTGCACCCTCTCTGCTCTAGTAGGTGTGCCTTGTGATAGCATTGAAGTAGGGGGGATACCGTTTTCATCTTCAGGTAATGAAGAGACAGCAAAAGCCAAGAAATGTGTTCAGAGTCCCATGTGTGCAAAGCCCCTTCCTGGATTTGGGTGTGGCACCCTTGGGATGAGCTGTCCAAGGGGCTTTATCTCAGGAGTGGAAAATCTCATAAAGGGAGTTGATAAGAGCCTGACTCCTATCAGTCTGTCTGTCTTCTTCTGGACACAAAAGACAGATCTCACCCCCAAAGGTACTAAGTTTATTCTAAGCCAATTTGAGGGACCCTGTCCTGGGAACCAAAATTCAGATCATCCTTAATGACACCCTTGGCTGTGGGAATAGCTACAGGATACCTGTACAGTCACAGCCAAGGAGAGTCATGAATCAGTGCGTTTACCAGAGACGTTGGTGCCAACACTGGGTAGGTGAATTGCTGCAAACCAATTCCAGATGCTATCTGATGACATTAATAGGTTTTTGGTTTGGTTACAAGTTAGTGATCTGCTAAATGAATAAATTCCAGATGCGTGTGGTGGTGCACACTGTTAGTCAAAGCACCTGGGAGGCAGAAGCAGGCAGATCTCTTTGGGTTCAAAGCCAGCAAGTTCTAGAACAGCGAAGACTACATAGAGAGATCCTGTCTCTAATTAATTAATTAATTAATTAATTAAAAAACTAAATTTTCTTACCTGATGGTCCAGAATGTTAGGTCAGATACAGAGGTTGGAGATAAGCTACTAAAGGAACTAAAAATACTCCAAGACCACTTTTAAAGATACATTTTTATTATTTGTATTTATGTATTCGTGTGTAAGTGTGTCCAGGTGCTTGTGTAGGCCAACAGTGTCAGATTCCCTTGGAGATGGAGTTGGATGAAGTGGCAAGCAGCCTATGTGGGGGCTGGGAATTGAACTCGGGTCTTCTGGCAGAGAAGCACATGCTCTAAACTACCGAGTCACCTCTCCAGCCCGTCTCCAAGATAACTTTGGCTGAGAATCCGAAATAGCCCAGTCTCCATAATCAGAAAGTTCTAAATCAGTCTGTAGAATCTTCACACGTGAGGCTTTTTCAGGGGACCTCAAACACCGCTCTTCTCTCCCTGCCCTGTCGAGAAAACGTCTTTACATAATCTGGAGAACAGCAGGAACCAAAACCTGTTACATAATAACCAAGCGAACCTTACTGTTTTAAACCAGTGCTGGACTCGAGAGCAAGAGAGTCTCTACAGGTCTTCTCTAGCCCAGATCTGCTTGGACAGTTTATTCCTCCGCACTAGGCGCTCGGACCGTCCTGTGTTGGAGTGCTTGCTTTCCCACGAAGATAGTCTTCTGCAGCTAAAGGTTACAGTCTCAACACGGGATACTGTATTATGGACTCTTCTGCCCCAGGACAGACTCTTAGGAAAGTACCGGAGGCGGCAATCGCCGGGGCCAAGGAAGGCTACCGCCTCGCGGCTGATTGGCTCGCGTGGCTGCAAGAGCAGCACAGCCTTCGGCTGGCCTCCGAGTGTGATTGGCTGCTGGAGCCCCACCCCCTCTCCAATTGGACGGAGTTGTGAGGCTAGGATTGGTGGAGCTAATGCTCCCTGGAGCTCCCGGTGCAAGGCCGAGATGGCGACTGCGATCCGGCTGCTGGGGCGACGGGTGTCCGGTTGGAAACTGCGGCCGTCGCCCCTCGCTGTCCCGCAGCGAGCTCACTCGATGTTGCCTGTGGACGATGCTATCAACGGACTAAATGAGGAACAGAAGCAGGTAGGGAGGCCACGCCCAAGGCTTCGTGTCTCCTTGTCCCACCTCACGAGTGACTTGTGCCTGCTGGGCCTTGGAAGCGTCACTCCGAAGCCAGGGAGAGGATCTGCTCGCTTCATACTCTTAGCTAATGCCCAAGCCTCTGACTCATCGTTATCTCTAAGGAGGGAAGATTTGAGACAGACAGCAAGGCAGGGCTGCTAGAAGGAGATAGAAGAGTAAAGATCAAAGCTCTTTGTGGTGTTTGTGTGGGAGTGTGGGAGTGTTGGTTGGTCCTGCCTCTGGTGGCAATCATGAGTCCACTCAGACTCCAAGCCGATGTTCTCTGTATGTACCGACCCCCTTTCCCTGGGGTCTCTGGATGTATAGCTTTGGGTAGCCCAGACCTTGCCTTGTAGACCAGGCTGGTCTTGAACTCTCATCTTCGGCTTGCTTCTGCCTCCAGAGTGACGGGATTAAAGGTGTGGGCCACCAAGCCGGGCGGTGGTGGCGCACGCCTTTAATCCCAGCACTCGGGAGGCAGAGCCAGGCGGATCTCTGTGAGTTCGAGGCCAG